ACATATAAAGACATTTAGTTTTTTCTCCCCATTTTGAAAAAAAACAACCTTACTATGGATTTTCATTGTTTTATTAAACATAGCATGTTTGGTGTTAATTTGTTCAATCATGGGTAGGTTGATTCGTTGTAAGTTTCACTTTAGTTCTGTTTTTTAATTACACTTTAACTGATGCATTTACGCTGCCGGAAAAGCAACCCATTTTGATAGTATTACTTGATTCCGCTGCTCATTTTAATATAGTTTCGTTTATATGTATACATAGAACTGTGTAATAAGCTGCCATTTTAGGATAGCAATCACGTTTAGTCGCAAACAATGTCTTTGGTTTTATGATAATACTAGCAGTGATATAAACAATAGCATAAAAATTGAATTGTGCAATATAGGATAATATATAATTTTAGTACACGATGTTGAATCAAGAATTGAACACATTTTAACCTTGAAGTGAACACATTTAAAGAAAAAACTGAACACATTTGAAGAAAGAACTGAACACATTTAAACAAAGAAGTGAACATATTTAAAGAAAGAAGTTAACACATTTAAATAAAGAAGTAAACAAATTTTAACCATAAAGTGAACACATTTAAAGAACAAACGGTTCACTTTTAAACAAAGAAGTGAGAACATTTTGACTGTGATCCATCTCATTGACTGTATGCTTGCATGGATCAGAGAACATCGGATGTAACTTGGCACTAAAGAGTACGTCCATGTCCATAAGGTTGATCAACGAAAACATGTATGTTGGGACTATGCAATCTTGGTCCAAAATTTTGATATTGTTTTTATAAGTGTGTTATTTTACTAATTAAATGATAACTTGCGGATAAAATGTGATCATTATAATAAAGATTTAAGTAAAATAGTTTTTGATACTTTACTTTAATTCATTTTATGAAAGTTTGAAATAATATATAGTACTTATAAGCCATCAAATCTAATGCTAATATATTTTCTTATTTTGAAAATGTGTTTTCCAAAGGGCTTCTTTTTCTTCTTCGTTCTTAATTTTAGTGTCTGAAGGGATCCCCCTCCAACACAATTAAGGATACGTGTCAACTGGTTATGCGCCATTCATTGACTCCGATTTCAGCCTGCTTTTCTTTTTGCATTTGCTTCCATAGCCTTTGTCCAACCAAGAACAAACTACAAGGCAGCAGTTGTTTGATTTTGGAGTTGTCTCTCCTAGAAGAGTGGCTGTCCCCAGCTAACGAGCCTCATCTGCCTGAGGGTTCGAACTCGAGACTTTTCGGTTTAGCAGCCTTGAGGGCATTATATGCATAAGTTACATTTACAAAAGGAGAGAATGTTTTTGTGTAGTTGTTGTGATTGTATTCGTGTCGTCGTGTTTTCTTCAGCAGAGTAGGTGTGTGTGTGTTTGGGGGGGGGGGGGGGGGGGGGGGGTGTTACTAGTTCCGCAAGTGATAGTAGGCATTATTGTAACACTAGTATGGTAAAAAGTAAATTTACTCTTTAAAACCGGACGTTCTGCCGGACAGCTGAAGTAGAGTTTACTCTCTTCGTTTACACCGGCATTTAAAGAGATAAATCGTTTAGCACTATTCTCATTTACTTTACCTAACGCGAATGAAGTACTGAGCGGAACTTAAAAATCTGAGGATTTAAGCCCAAATACGAACTCAAGGCATTAGAGTTAGTAATCACAAGCTCAAACATCCAACCATGCTATTCAATAGTAACACTATCGTTTTTTTTTAAAATTCAGTGTATTTGTTTTTATATTTATAATTCAGTAAATTAGTTTAAAAAATATAAATAGTTTTTCTGTGATATCATGGGAAACTAGAAAGTTTGGGACAATTGTGTCAGAACATGTAGGCCTACTATAAACGAAAAAAACATCGGTGAAAGTTAAACAAAGCGGGAGTAAACTCCCCTTGAACTTTTTCGTACATTCTTATATAACAGAAAATTTGGATGACATTTCCAGTAGCATGGATAGATAGAAATATAGATTCTAATAGATTCTAGAAATAACATAGGCTGCACTTTTTGAACATTTAGTGTAAAACCAGAGGAAGAGTAAGTATCACAAACAAGACACTATATATATATATATATATATATATATATATATATATATATATATATATATATATATATATATATATATATATATATGCTTTTAAGATCTATTTACATACATTGATATAAAGTAAGTTAAAAACAAAATAAAGCACATGCAACAAATTCACATGGATATGATGTCTTGTTGAGTGTTATAAGTCAATGTGAATTCAGTGGCTTCGTTTGGTCGGTTGTCACCCGGTGCGGCACCTCTTGGTGCCACCCCCCCCCCCCATCGAAATTAGAAAAATTATGAGCTATATATAAAATATATATATATATATATAATACATTTAGTGTGAGCCCCCCCCCCTCTCTCCCATTTAGCCAAAACGCGTGAACTTGTAAACACATTATTTTAATTCAAAACGAACAATGCAACATTTTATGTGCCCCCCCCCCCCCCACAACTTGTCAATTTAAAACGTGAAACATTTTTAAAATAATCAATCATTTTTCTTCTATTTATTTCGCAAAGTTTTTGTCTTGGTGTCAGCCCCCAATTGGTGTCACACGGTGCGGTCTGCACCCCCGCCTCACGACGCCTCTGTTGTGTAGTAACAATTAGATATATTACTTTATTTGATAAAAATTAGATATTTGACTATGTGTGACAGAAAACAAAATTACATGGACACTATTTTAAATTATTTAATGGTACATTATTCATGTTTCTTAAAGATGTTTTCTATTTTAATTGTTACTTCCCTTTGACCGCTAACAGCACGGTTTTAACCCACCTACTCGTTGGTTCAAGCTTTCATGTCTGTTTTACAACAGACACGACATAAAAAAAATGTTTTTGTTTAATATGTTCAATGGTTTTTAAAGTATCCATATGTTGATATAATTTTCTTTATAGACCAAAATAGCTGAAAGATGTTTCAAGAAGTTCAGGTTGCTATTGAAACAATTAAAAGATGTGAAAATTAACTCATTTACAATTCACTAATACATTTTATAGATCCAAACTTTAGCGACAATATTAAGAGTCGCTAGTTATAAACTTTAGCGTCAATATTGAGAGTTGCTAGATATAACTTTAGCGACAATATCGAGTCGCTAGATTCAAACTTTAGCGTCAATATTGAGAGTCGCTAGATCCTAACTTTAGCGTCAATATTGAGAGTCGCTAGTTCCAAACTTTACTATTGACGCTAAAGTCTTTAGCGTCAATATTGAGAGTCGCTAGTTCCAAATTTTAGCGTCGATATTGAGAGTCGTTAGTTCCAAACTTTGGCGGCAATATTGAGAGTCGCTAGACCCAAAATTCAAACAAAAATAAAAAAGAAAACGAGTTGATTTAAAACTTTATTTATGTTTATATTTACAAGAAATATAAGACATTTTTTTCGCCATCCCAATCAATCAAAAACTTTTTCTATGATAAAAATAACGAGATAATTAATTAAAAGTTCTACAATATAGACAAGAAATATTTTAAGACCAGACATTCAACAGACGCCATGTTTGTTTACATTCTACACAAGAGCAGACAACTACAATTCCAGCCACACCCCACTATAATTTAATCCACCAGGGTTAGCTCCACTGTGGGGATGGTTTGACCAGTTCCAACCTAGTCTGTAGACCCAAGCCCCACTGCCACCTGGACAGGTACACGTAGTGTACGTGTACCTGGTGGAGTCACCCCTTACCACCTGCCTGTGTACCCAGTGACCTACAGAGACCTTCTTAGAACAGCCATGAGGATGTGACACTATAATGGTCAGCTTGTCCACATCTATACGACTCTTGTATTTGTTCCTTACTTTATAATGTAGACCATCAAACCGCCCCATGCTCTCCTCCAGTTTATCACCTACATCTACGTCATGTGTCACACAAAACAACCTACACACGTCTCTCTCAGTGTATGACCCATCCACCTTCCACCCATAAATCTTGACCACTGGACTTTTATCATCATCAAACCACAACCTACATGTGGACTGTCTCGCCTCACTCACATCAAAAACCACATGTCTGGCTGTCACCACACCAACCTCACACCACACTTTGCTGGGTGTGTCCGAGTGGTCACATTCAGGACATGGACAAGTTCTGTAGGTCTCAAATGTCTGGTCCATCCCCTCTGTGTACTTGATCACCCACTTCACCCTCCCAGTCCCTGTCCTCAGTGAGTTCTGTCCCCTGGTCTTGTAGCAAGGATATAGATCTTTAGTGCCTGGTACAAACTCTGGTCTGTCTGGACTGGTCAACTTAACGGCTACCCTGACAGTTAGGTCAGCCAGGGCTTTTGTGAGTTCACACACTTCGTTGTCATGGTAACCAGAAGGAAAATGTTCAAGACTTAACTGATTTACAGGTACAAAATATTTATGGCCAGGATTTTTCTTGCACTTTTTCATATGTTTGAGTAGATCTGCCTCACCTTGACCTTCAAGACATTCTTGTACTTCATGTGTACCTGTACAGGTAAACAAAACAATTTTATTACTGTAAACATTTCATTAGCTGTTAAACTTTGACAAACATGAAAAACTATCTTCAACCTCCAACTGTCACAACCATCTCAACCATCACCATCTTAAGATACTCATCCAGTAAACATTTCAAACTACAGAATGTTCCAACATAAAGACTTCATCAGCAAAAAAAATTGGAAGCATTAGGAACAATTTTTTCCCAAAACAAATGGACATTACCTGTAAAATATGTTGAGAGGTCTCCTCCACTGGTCATACTGTTGTGGTCATCTAGACTATCCTCTCCACTGGCCATACTGTTGTGGTCATTTGGACTATCCTCTCTACTGGCCATTTTGTTGTGGTCATTTGGACTATCCTCTCCACTGGTCATACTGTTGTGGTCATCTAGATTATCCTCTCCACTGGCCTTACTGTTGTCGTCATCTAGACTATCCTCTCCACTTGCCATACTGTTGTGGTTATCTAGACTATCCTCTACACTGGCCATACTGTTGTGGTCATCTAGACTATCCTCTCCACTGGCCATACTGTTGTGGTCATCTAGACTATCCAAGTTAATTCCTGTTAAATAAACCACAACACAAAGATTTGACACATTGTCTACATCAGCGCTAAACCATGGCTGTGCGCTTGATTAAGTTAAAAGATAATTAACAAACTTACCTGTAACTTGATTTGACAGATCTCTACTGGCCTTTACTGTAGTCTTATGGTCATCTGTGGCAGCTGTTTGATTGAAATAACCTTGACCTTCACATCACATTTAGCAGATGTCAGTCAATCTGTTTAGTTAACAATATTTTGACCTTTTCAAAGAAATAAATTTATATGGTAATTAATGGGTGGGGCACTTGAATTTTTGAGTGGTGAATAAAACTCTATGGTAACAAAACTACAAAACAATAGCCACTGGTCAATGATATGGAAAACAGAATTCAGCATGAGGATCAGCGTTAGAAGACTAAGATTAAATACATTCTTAGACCAATACATAATAGAGTGAAACTGACCTTTGAACTCCCCACTTGACTTTAAGACATCTGACAGCACACACCACTATGGAAGATCCTTCAGGCTCTGGAGAGAGAAATCAAATTATAGTGAAACTGTCATTAGCATAGAACTACAGAATGACATTATTTATGATGGAACTGTCATAAGCATAGAACTACAGAATGACATTATTTATGATGGAACTGTCATAAGCATAGAACTACAGAATGACAATATTTATGATTGAACTCTCATTTGCATAGAACTACAGAATGACATTTATGATGGAACTGTCATTAGCATAGAACTACAGAATGACAACATTTATGATGGAACTCTCATTTGCATAGAACTACAGAATGACATTTATGATGGAACTGTCATTAGCATAGAACTACAGAATGACAACATTTATGATGGAACTCTCATTTGCATAGAACTACAGAATGACATTTATGATGGAACTGTCATTAGCATAGAACTACAGAATGACAACATTTATGATGGAACTCTCATTTGCATAGAACTACAGAATGACATTTATGATGGAACTGTCATTAGCATAGAACTACAGAATGACAACATTTATGATGGTACTGTTAAGCATAGAACTACAGAATGACAACCTTTATGATGGAACTGTCATTAGCATAGAACTACAGAATGACATTTATGATGGAACTGTTTAGCATAGAACTACAGAATGACAACATTTATGATGGAACTGTCATAAGCATAGAAGTACAGAATGATATTTATGATGGAACTGTTTAGCATAGAACTACAAAATGACAATATTTATGATGAATTATAAACAATTAAAGAAGAACACAACATGTTTCTTATAATTGTGATGTAACCTGAACAGGTCAAATGTTTGCAACACAGGGGAGAAAAGTTTGTATCTAGATCTATCTGGAAATGTAGGTAACAGTTATAGGATTGCATGGGAAGTTAATTAAAGAAATATATTAATTGTAATAATGTTAATTCCTATTGCATCAACTTAGCAACTGAATGATATTAAGCCCTGATTATGTTAGGATTTTTAAGTTTCATTTTATCATTGATCAGGCTACAGGTTAATAGACCTAAGATATTATTAAATCGTTTTTTGTTTCCTAGCAATTTTAAATGAGGTGCTTATAAAAACATTACTGCCTAAATACTGCCTACTATTTAAAGACTTGAAATAAAAGAGCATTAATTTCTGCAATAAATTGTAATCTATAGGATGAGAGTGTCACATATTTAGTTACATATTTAGTTTATGTTTCTGACAACACAATGCATCTATAGATCTAGATTCACTATTACAAAAGTACAGTACTATGACTGTAGGGTTTTCACATAGATCTAGATTCTAGTAGATCTAGATATCTATATTAAATATAATACGCAGAAATAACGTTTATAAAAATATATTTCTGAAATGACAACGAATGTCGTTTTCGACAGCCATCATTTCAATGACGACGGTAAACAGAAGTAGGTCAAGCGACAGCCTACATCGAGCCTCATGTGCACGGGTGTTTAAATGCGGGACTCTTCAGTTTAGCAAAACTAAGCTTTACCAACAAATCTCTGACTGGCCCGACCAACAAATCTCTGACTGGCCCAAACAACGAATCTCTGACTGGCCCGACCAACGAATCTCTTACTAGCCCGACCAACAAATCTCTGACTGGCCCAAACAACGAATCTCTGACTGGCCCGACCAACGAATCTCTGATTGGCCTGACCAACGAATCTCTTACTAGCCCGACCAACGAATCTCTGACTGGCCCGACCAACGAATCTCTGACTGGCCCGACCAACGAATCTCTGACTGACCCGACTAACGAATCTCTGACTGGCCCGACCAACGAATCTCTGATTGGCCCGACCAACGAATCTCTGACTGACCCGACCAACGAATCTCTGACTGGCCCGACCAACGAATCTCTGACTAGCCCGACCAACGAATCTCTGACCGGCCTGTGTTTAAATCTATGTCCCCTCGCCATGCAAGTTCCCACGTTACAATAAGCCCAACATTGGGAACTAACAGCCCCCCACACACTAAACTAACCTGTTATCGACCCCCACGGAACTAACAAATTATCGACCCCCCAACACGGAACTAACAAATTATCGCCCCTCCCCCCCACGGAACTAACAAAGTATCGACCTCCATGGAATTAACAAAGTATCGTGGGGGGGGGGGTGGGGGTGGGGTTGTAACCCCCCCCTTTAAATACAAAAAAAAAATAAGATAAAAAAAGAAAAATAAAAAAAAAAAAAAACATAACGTAAAATAGAAAAATATCAAGAAAAAAAAAAAAAAAATAAAGATTAAATAAAAAAAAAAAAGATAATAGAAAAAAAACAAAAAAAAAAAAAAAATAAAAACAAAAAAAAAAAAAAAAATAAATAAAAAAAAAATATAAAAAAAGATAAAAAAAAAGAATAAAAAAAAAAAAAAAAAAAAAACAAAAACAAAAAAAATAAAAAAAAAAAAAAAAAACCAAACAAAAAAAGAACAACAAACAGAAAAAAAAAGAAAACAAAAAACCCCACCCACCCCCCCCTCGTCTACGCCACTGGCTGAGCTAAGCGAATAATTAACTGTGCGACCAGTGTTAGTTTAAATTGAGCTGTTATTTGTTTTTTTTTATAAACAAATTCAATTATTCAAAAATAATATATGTCTAGATCTAGTAAACTAAAATAAAAAATATTTTTTTTTCAACAAATATCAGTGTTTCTTTGAGTTTAAAAGTTTCCAAAAAGGCGCCACTTTGCTGAAAATGCGCAGAGGGGGAGCGGCGTCTCTCCCATCCTCCCCCCCCCCCTGCGTACACTACTGTTTAGTCCATAACATGTGTCGCAAACATCAATTGCATTTTTTTCAGGCTCTTTTATATCCGCTTACGTGTAAGTTGATCCTAGTTTTAATAATTGGCTCTGTAAACACAAAGACCTCGTATCAATTTAAAATTTATATTAAAATAAATTGCTGAATTCTCCATAGATTTCAATCGAAATTTTAAATGCAAAATTGATATCATCACTGTCCAACACTTTGAAATAATATATACTATAATTTATGTTTTTTATAAGCAAATTAGAAAAATGAGTAATACAAAACCTGCTGCCGTGAATACATGACAAACCTTACCTAAGTCTGTTGTACACGGTTGATCAATTCTAAGAAATGACCGCTGACGTTTAAAACGGTTTTTCTTACAGCCTAACTCAGTGGGCGTTATCAACAAGGCAGTAAGTGGAGTGGACCATGTACCAATACACATCCTTGTCTGTGCTACATTTGTAAACCTCTTGTAAGTCTTGTAAATTCAACATTTAGATATTTATTATATGTACGGTCATCTGTTGTCCTTTTCAGTGACCTATATTCTGTTTCTGTGGCCTTAGGTTCTGTTTCTGTCAGTGAGAGACTGGCATGTTGCCAATACCTAATCCTGTCCTGTCTGACTGAATTGTTTAGTGCAAGTGCGTAGAAATTATGATTATGAATGCTAACAGGTTTTAGTGTTGTTTGCCATTATGTTGCTTCACATGGGTGATTTGTTTCAACATAATATGTATACAACCTGGTCCTCACGTGGATGTACAAACAACATAACATCGTTTTCCCTTACATACCGTTGTCAAGAGCTTAAATGTGTAGGACTATAGTTGTTTATTTCCTTTTTTTTCAACTAGAAACGATCATTTTAAAATACATATTTCCCAACAGGATCTTAAAGCAAAGCGTTGTATAAAAATAGACGTTTTAAGCCATGAAGAGAGACCCTTGCGTTTTCTCATTAGCACAGCACTGGTGAAAAAGGAACTGATTAAAATCTCATTACAAGTGGGTTTTGTCAGTCTGTTGTTCAAATGAGACTTTAGTGGGTTTTTAATATGACGTGGTAGACGAGCTAATTTTCTTTCGTTCTAGTTTTGTCATTTGATCAACATATTTTTCTTAAAGACTGAATCTAACTGAAACCCTAAGCAAACACAGTAAAAAAAAATTAAATTATAATAAAAATCTAAAATTAGCTAAATGTCATTCTCTTGTAACTAGTCAGTGTCTACCTGGTCAGTACCCAACTAGTCAGTATCCAACTGGCCAGTACCCAACTGGTCAGTATCCAACTGGTCAGTATCCAACTGGTCAGTATCTAACTAGTCAGTGTCCAACTGGTCAGTGTCCAACTGGTCAGTATCCAACTGGTCAGTGTCTACCTGGTCAGTATCCAACTGGTCAGTGTCCAACTTGTCAGCGTTAAACTGGTCAGTATCCAACTGGTCAATAGCCAACTGGTCAGTGTCCAACTGGTCAGTGTCTACCTGGTCAGTATCCAACTGGTCAGTGTCCAACTTGTCAGCGTTAAACTGGTCAGTGTCCAACTGGTCAGTGTCCAACTGGTCAATCCAACTGGTCAGTATCCAACTGGTCAGTAGCCAACTGGTCAGTAGCCAACTGGTCAGTAGCCAACTGGTCAGTATCCAACTGGTCAGTGTCCAACTTGTCAGTATCCAACTTGTCAGTATCCAACTGGTCAGTATCCAACTGGTCAGTAGCCAACTAGTCAGTATCCAACTGGTCAGTATCCAACTGGTCAGTATCCAACTGGTCAGTGTCCAACTTGTCAGTGTCCTACTGGTCAGTATCCAACTGGTCAGTATCCAACTGGTCAGCATCCAACTGGTCAGTATCCAACTTGTCAGTGTCCAACTGGTCAGTGTCCAACTGGTCAGTATCCAACTGGTCAGTATCCAACTTGTCAGTGTCCTACTGGTCAGTATCCAACTGGTCAGTATCCAACTGGTCAGCATCCAACTAGTCAGTGTCCAACTGGTCAGTATCCAACTGGTCAGTATCCAACTGGTCAGTATCCAACTGGTCTGTGTCCAACTGGTCAGTATCCAACTGGTCAGTGTCCAACTTGTCAGTGTCCTACTGGTCAGTATCCAACTGGTCAGTATCCAGCTGGTCAGCATCCAACTGGTCAGTATCCAACTGGTCAGTATCCAACTGGTCAGTATCCAACTGGTCAGTATCTAACTAGTCAGTGTCCAACTGGTCAGTGTC